CTTAAGATAGATGAAGAGAAAATATTTAATCTGAAGAATGACATGAAAAGGGAATTAACAAAGTAATGGATAGTCTCAGAACTGGCCTAACATTCATATTATCAGAGTCCCAGCGGAAGGAGAAGAAACTGATGCAGGAAAAAAATAGCTAAAGACATGTTCTCAAATTTGGCAAAAGACATAAAATTACAGATTCAAGAAACTCAGTGTGGGCTGGTGTTGAGAGCCACAGCCAAAGGGGCCCCAGCAAACTTCCAGCTGCCAGCAAGCTTCAGACTGCCAGCTGATGATTGGTTCACAGTGGCCCCAGCAACATCTAGCTGATTGGCTCCTCTGCGGTGATGTTCATTGGGCTGTTTCCCTGCCCTTCAGACTGCCAGCTGATGATTGGCTCACAGCGGCCCCAGCAACATCTAGCTGATTGGCTCCTCTACGGAGCTGCTCATTGGGGGACTTCTTTGGCTCCACCCACGCGACCCAGCCAATCGGCCTCAAGAGCAGGAGGATTGTGGGAGGTTGGGAGTGTGTGTGGGGGTGAGAGGCTTGTGGAAGCCGGTGGTGGCAGTTGGGCTCTGAGGGTTTTTCCCTGAGGAGCTGTTTTGTTTGGCGTTTGTAGTTCTAAAAATAAAGTTAGTTTCTTTTTGACAAGTGGCTCCTGATTTGTGCCAAGCCAGACTTCGGCAGGCTGGGGGTATAGCTCAGCTGCAGAGCATTTGCCTACATGCATGAGACCCTGGCATCAATCGCCAGGGTGGGCAGGGGGGCAGGGGAGAAAAGAAAGAAAACTCAGTAAACTCCAAACAGGATGAACTCATTCAACTATGTAGGAAAAAAACAAGTCAGATTCTCCTATATTCTCACTCAGCAAGCAACATAGATTTTTTTTTTTTTGTACTGAGGACTGAACCCTGGGGCGCTTAACCACTGAGCTACATCCTCAGCCCTTTTTCATATTTTATTTAGGGACAGGGTCACTGAGTTGCTTAGGCCTTGCTAAATTGCTGAGGCTGGCTTTGAACTTGAAATCCTCCGGCTTCAGCCTCCCAAGCCACTGAGATTACAGGTGTGCACCACCACATCCAGCTCAATCAGATTACTTCTGACACCAGGGTGTTGATTTTTCCCCCCACACGCTGAGCAAGCAATCAATTTGGCAGTGACTCTTGCACCTGCAGATGCCCAATGGGCAACTAAAATCAGGATAGAACTTGGCATCTTTGCCTTCATTTTGTATCTGTCTTCAGATCCCTGCTCTGCTCTAAACATAGGCATATTCATCATTTAAGGAGTATTCATCTAAAAACTGGTAATGTGAGGTTTATTAGCCCTAATTTCACCTAATCTGTTTTGCTTCCCTTTAAGACTAAGGCAAAATTTACAGGTACATTTGACTCTCAGCTTTTACAGCACCCTATTTTAGACCCCTGGAGTGGTGTCTAGAGTCTCCTGTCATTGCCCTAAATCTGCAGGAACAGGGGAACTTGCAGGCACATTACCCCACAAGAAGACTGCCTTCTGAAATAGAAGCAGTCATCTCATGAGAACTGGGAATTGGCCCCTTCCAGGATCACAGGTTTAATAAATAAAACATCCTAAGCAATGAGTAAAAATTGTTCCCTCAAGTGATAATGACTTCTCTGGACTTCTCCAGAGCCACTGCATAGAACCAGAACTAAGAGAATGATCAACCAGACTACAGTTTGACCAAGACTGCTTAACTATGTGCACCTCTTCCCTTGCCCCCAGTTCTTCCTCTGTTTAAACATAAAGCTCAGCTGGGCACAGTCACACCCCTGTGACCCCAGCAAACTTCAAGGCTGAGGCAGGAGGACTGCAAGTTCAAGGTCAGCCTCAGCAATTTAGCAAGACCCTGTCTCAAAATTTAAAAATAAATAAAATAAAAGGTTGTTGCTTGGTGGTAGAGTCCGCTGGGTTCAATCCCCAGTATTTCTAAATAAATAAATAAACAAATCTAAAACTTTTATCAGTGACTCAAAGGGCGAGATGCTTGATCTCACTTTGTCTTCCTAATACAGCTGTTTTTCTTTTTAATTTTTTTTAGATGTTGATGGATCTTTATTTTATTCATTTATTTATATGTGGTGCTGAGGATCGAACACAGCGCCTCACACATGCTAGGCAAGTGCTCTACCACTGAGCCACAACTCTGGCCCCTTAATACAGCTGTTTTGATATAAGTTTTTCTTTCCTGCTTTTCACCATTAATTTTTCTGTTTGCTTTTTGGGGTAAATGGCTGAACCTATTTTGTTGGAACGGCCCAAGTCAGGTCTCTGGCCTAGGACTTTGGTTATAAAAAGATAGACCTAAATCCAACCATATAATTTGTAAATGGTCTAAATTCACCAAAAACAAAACAACAAAAAAAAAAAAAGAAAGAAAGAAAGAAAGAAAAAAAGAAAAACCCAGGAGATTGTTAGACTGAATTGGAGAATAGGACCCAGCTCTATTTGTCTCTAAGAAATCCACATTAACTATAAAGACACACACAACTTAAAATAAAGACACTTGGCATCTCTGCCTTCACCATTGTAACAACTTAAAGACACACATAACTTCAAAGGGTCAAAAAAAAAATTGGAGACCAGTCGTTTCAAGAGCAGGTCTGGGCTTTCTTCTCTTAGACACCTGAGCTGGTTGGTACAGTGGGGTGGTCACCAGTGAAATGAGCTAGTGTGGCTATAAGCTATGTACCCCAGGGACTAGCTCAAGATTCCCCACACAGCTGTCACTTTAGGCAGGGACTATCACACCCACCTCACCCCAAGAATCCAGAGCTCATAAACCCCCTGCAGCACCAAACTGATCAGGGGTTCCCTTACTTGCAAGAATTCTAATTCAACCTTTGCCAAAGTCAGGGAATGCACTTTTTGGGAGGATGGCTTTGATCTGACACAGTTGTACGTGTGCTGCAACTACCCTGGCAAAATGGGCACAGGCTCACAAGATACTGGTCCTGGGGCATTGTAATTCATGCTTTCTGATTCTGTATAAATTTCACCTTTTTCATCATGAATCTAAAAGTCACCACTCTGGTGTCTCTAGTAGCTTCCCAAACTGTCTTCTACCAGGAGATGAGTATTGCCAAGTCCCAAGAGAGGACTTGGCTACTGAAGGATTGGGCTACTGGGGCTGTTTCTGCTTCAAGTGCACAGGCTTCACATAGACATACTGACATGCAGAAGTCCAACCCAAGCCATTGCTGTCAACAAGAGACTCTCCTCTAGAAGATGAGGTCACTACTTGAGGAATCTGTGACACTATCCTTTCACTGGTGAATAAAAACGGAGGGAGGGCCTATTTAAGAAGAACTCTGGAGATTGTGATTGTAGAAACATTGGATGAATTGCAGGTCAGAGTATGCCAGGATCAGTTTGGAAGTCTTCATCTATTTTTTAGTCAGAATCAAACATATTTTAGAAGATGCTTGACTTTCTGCATAAATGAAAAGCAGATTTTTAAAAATAAAACCTAGTTCAGGTTATTTTCAGCCTCAGGTACAATGAATGGCCTCAGTACAAATAATATGAAGTGTGTTTTCATGACAAAAGTTAAATTCTAAAGTTAATTGTGAACAGTCACTAGAATTTCAAAGTTAAATTCCCTCCATGTACTTATGGAAAAGTTTGTCTCCATTTTCAACTTATTTTTATAAGTTGTTTTCTGCAGTGCTGGGGATTAAGCCCAGAGCCCTGTGCACGCTAAGCAAGCAGCTCTTCACTGAACTTTGCCTCCAGCCCTTCTTCTTCTTCTTCTTTTTTTAAAAAATTTTGATACAGGGTATGGCTGTTGCCAGGCTGAACTCAAACTTGCTTTCCTCCTGCCTCCCCCTCCCCAGTAACTGGTATTACAGGCACGCACTACTGCACCTGGCTCCTTCTTCTATTTTTTCCCCTCTTTAATCCATTCTGTGGCTTGGAAAGTGGAGCTGGTGCATGTCTGGGATCCCTTAGCCTACTTGTGTGATGCTAAGCCAGGAAGATCACAAGCTCAAGGTCAGACTGGGTGACTTAGTGAGACTCTGTCTCAAAATAAATTTTTTAAAAAAGGACTGGGGATGTAGCTCAGCGGTACAGTGCTTGCCTGGCATGTGTGAGGCCCTGGTTTCAATATCCAGTTGTGGGGAGAAAAGCAAAATAAAAAACAACACAAACAGCTGGAGTGCTAGCGATCACCTTGAAACATTGATCTCTCCTAGGAACAGAGCTCAGCTTGCCAGGACTTCATCAGCGTAACAGCCCTGGGTGGCCTGCTTCTAGACGTTTATGTGAGAGAAGTAGATTCCCATCTTGTGTAAACCACTGCTTGTTTCTGTTTCATGTAGCTAAGCCGAATCCCTCTATGGGTCTAACCAGAAACCAAGATACAGTCTCATCTGAATCCTAGAAAGGACTTCTGGGTGGGAAACAATGCCAACCTTTTCTTTGTGGACGATAAATGGTAAGGTCACCAAAGACCAACAGCCTGTAACAGAAGGCCTAACTGAGGACCCTAAATGGAGAGCCAGTCTTGGTGGAAAACACCCAACAGGAAGCCAGGAGGAGCTGCGTACTTCCCTGACCCGGAGGCTGCCTTCCTGGCCAGGGCTGGGCTTTCCTCTGAGCACCAGGAGGGTGCTGAGTAGCTATCTCCAGGCTTTCATCCAGCGCGGAGGTTCCAGTCCATTTTCCAACCTCCTTTATATACTCCATTTCAAACCTGAAATAATCCATGTAAAGCGCTGGCCCGGTGCTTAGCACGTGGGAGGCACGTGTCATCTTTAGGAACCATGTCACTCATTTTTGTAGTTTTCATAGTCCCTTTCACAGAGCAGGTGCCCAGTGTGTGCCGACCTGGGAGAATGCCTGCTGCTCTTCAGCTGGGCCCCTGCTTGCCCTCCAGAAGGCCTGCCCCACATGTATGAGTATCAGCAAGAAAAACCCAGGAAAAGGAGAACCTTTGGCTCCAGGTTACATGAATCCACCAGAGAAAAAGCAGCAGATGGAGGAGGAAATACACTATTTATTTACAATTTGTTCACTTTATCCACAATTTCCCATACAAACATAAAAACTAAAAAAATAAAACCACCACTTGGGAACACAAGTGTCTTTCTGTAATTAGTCTGGTTGAGGGAGGCAGAGGCCCCCCTGCTCTGTGAAGGAGGCTACTGAGGCACACCAAAGGGGGAGAGGAGGAGGAAGAACGCCTGAGAAACAGCTCACGAGAACCTCGCACACGTGTGGGTGGGTGGTGTGTGGAGGGCTTTGCTGGCAGAGACCTGGGGTGGCCCCCGTGAGGACACTGCTTGGCTTCCCAAGGGGATGACAGCTTGCCGCCCTGCTCCACTTCTCCACTGCCAAACACCAAAAGTCAAAAATGGGTCGCACATCTCATGAGCTGTGTGGTGTGATGGTGACAGTAGGGGACACCTAATGTTGCTCTCTGAGAAGAGCCCCAATCCCAGGGATGCTCAGGACACTCCTTCCCTTGGCACTGACCAGTTGGTCACAGCTTCTGTCCTTAATCCAACGCTGACTTAAACATGGGAAAACAAAAGCCCTCCCCAGAGTCCAGGGAAAGGCAAGGGTCAAAAACACGGAGAAAGGGCTTCTGCCTTCACAGTCCCTTCTGGAGGAGGCTGCCAGGGGTGAGGGTGGGGGCGGGGTGGGAAGCTCTGCCACGGAAGAGGGGAGGGGCAGGGCAGATGTTCCAGAAAGGCCCAGGATGGGAAGAAAGGGGAGCAAAGACACTGAGACACTGACGCGGGCTGGGCCTCCCTAGCAGACCCTGCTCCACTGCCTTCAGAGAGGGCGCCCCGAAACCAACCTGGAGGCGCTGAAGCCACCAGCCTGGCAAGCTCATCTGTGCTAGTGACCTAGATTGCTTTCACGTGTTGATGCACATTATAAATATAAAATCATATCTGCTACAAAGAGGACATATATTTGTACATCTTCACCCATATACATAATAACACAATTTACACATAATATCTTGGAGTGGGTCGTCATGGAAACAAAGGTTTGGAGAGGTAAAAAGCCCCTTCTCCCTTCCCGCCTGGTCATTCTCAAGGATGCTTGTACACTTGGTCACGGGGGCCCTTCCCAACTGGTTCTGATGGGGCTAGTCTGGACACAGCAATTCAGACATGTAATGAAATGCTGACAGGTGTGCACACACACACTCACACGCACAGACACAGGGATCTGGTGAGAAAAAGTAAAAGAAAATTCCTAGCCCTTGGGTGTAGGCCTCTTCCCAGAGTTAAAAGCATCAGTGCCTCCTCCATCTGAGAACTGTCTCAAGTAGCTGCCCTTCACTGGCTCAGACTAGGGCAGGAGAAGGATTAGGAAACCAGGGAGGGGGGCGGGGCCTGGAGTCTTCTGAAAACATAAGGCATATTTGACCTGTGATCAAATCAAACTAAGTCACAAAAAGCAACTGTATCAAAGCCTAATACTTCCATGCCTTAGGCATGTAATAGATTCTGTGGGGTTTTCTTCCTGTTTAAAGAGAGAGAGAGAAAAAAAAAAGTGATGGTATCACTTGGGACCTGGAGGCAAAAGCCAGCCAGTCCAAGTCGGTCCACGCAGGGACAATGTGAGTGAGACCCTGAGCCTCCCCTTCTTTTGTCCAGTTTTTTTAAAAGGGGCAGACAACCCTGTACCTCCTTTTCTGTCCTCTCCCAGAGCTGGGCCCATCCACATGGCATGGAATACTGAGAGTGGTCCAAGAGACATCCAGAGACACGGAGTGGTGGACGCCAAGAAGTTAAGACCTGGGTGGTGGGGTGAGCTTTTTACAGCAGGAGTGGTTCCTGGCTGGGGTCCACGGCTCGCACGGTGGCCACAGTGATCAGATTGCCATCAGAGATGGGGGCAGTCTGGGTCCCCAGGGGGAGACAGCACCTATCGGCGGTAGTGATTGGGGGCGTCAGCAAACATGTACTTGAGTCTATACGCCTCGGCCAGAAGCAGCCCGATCTCTTCGTTGCCCCAGTGTATCGTAGGTAGGTTCTGTAGCAGCATGAGGAGACCCTGGAAGGCAAGAAAGGGCTTATATTGCTTTCCACACTGTAGACCACAGAACCAGTAGGACCCCTCTTAAGACTCAGGGCTGAGATGGGGCTTTCCTTCTGCGCCCCACACCCCCAGGGTCCAGCCTTCAGCCTCCCAAACTGCATGCAGCCTTGGCCGCTAGCTCACCCCAAGAAGCCTTGAAAAGCCTCTGCTGATTCTTTGATCCACTAACACCCACCTCTTTAAAAACCATAAATGGAGAATAACAAAAAAGCTTTTAAGAGAAATAATCACTCATCATCCAAATATAGCTCTCCTGCTTTGGAGGTATTCCGTCTCAGTTTTTCTTTCTTCCTTATATGTTTCTTTAAATAGTTGTAATCATAATTACAATTTTATATGTACTTTAATCACCTTTCTTAAACTATAATTTTCATGCTTTTCAATCCAGCCTTCACAAATGATTAGTCTCAAAGCTGGCAGACCATCCAGGCTACACCCTAATTTGCTCAGCCACTTCCCCTTTGTTAGATACGGAATCCACTTTTTTTCTCATCTTTAGGGAGAGGGTCGCACTCCTGCTATAAAAAGCTCACCCCACCACCCAGGTCTTAACTTCTTGGCGTCAACCACTCCATGTCTCTGGATATCTCTTGGATCACTCTCAGTATGGCAACTGGACATCCTTCTCCTAACCTCAATGTTTCCTTGCTGTCCTTGAGGTCCCCTTGTTCTAAGGCTGTCCTCAGCCTATCTGTCCAGCTTTCTGTCCACCACCCCACCCTCACCCAGCCAGGTCCACTTCAGCCACATTTGTGTGTGCTGCCGTGGCCTGGTTTCTGCTCTTCCTCTCATCTGGAACACTTTCTCTTCTCCTCCATCTAGCTAAATCCTATTCAGCTTTCAAAGTCCAGTTTTCTCAAAGAGCTCCACGGAAACAGCCTATTAAAGAGGATATTAGAATAAAATGAATGGGATTTTAGGTTATCTCTCTAATTTAGTTGCCCATGCTGTTTGTTGCTGCTGCTTCATATTATTTTTCTCTTTCTGAATTAGGTAGTCTTATTTTTCCAATTATAAAAGTAACAGTCATAAGACACGAAATACAGAAGCCATAAGAAACTTACAAGATTGAATACATATAATTCATACAATTCTTGATATGTCAAGAGACACTAAAAACCAGTTTAAAATATAAGAAACTAGGAGAAAATATGTATGCCACCTATAAAAGATAAAAAGGTCAATATCCACATCAATAAGGAGCACCACAGAGCACGGTGGCGCACACTTGTAATCCCAGTGACTTGGGAGGATGAAGCAGGAGGATCACGAGTTTGAAGTCAGTCTCAGCAATTTAGTAAGGCCCTAAGCAACTTATCAAGACCTCATTTCAAAATAAAATACAAAAAGGGCTGGGGGTGTGACTCAGCAGTTAAGTGCCCCTGGATTCAATCCCAGGTTCAAAAACAAATAAATAAATAATAAAATAAAATAAATAAAAACCGAGTACCTACAGATCAGTGAAAGAAAAGACAAGAAGCCAAGTAAGACAACAGATGAGCGATGAGAACAGATAACAAGAGAATGCCCACGGCCCTCCACACACTATTTTTACTTCTAAAAACCCTGCTTTGGGATGATCTGAATATTCCACCAGTGCTTCACAGTTTTTAGTGTCAAGATCTTACATATTTTTCACGAGGTTTTTTGTTTTAGTGACAGAAGTTCAGCTGGGCATATGGTTGCCCATGGCACATTATTGCTATGCGCAGCCAAAATGATCAAGTCTCGGCCAATTCTGGGATGGGAGCAGAAATGATCCGCATGTAACTTCTAGCTTCTGCCCTCAGCTTCTTCTATGCCTAGAAAATGGATATGGGGGCTGGGCTTGTAGCTAATTGGCTGACGTGTGAAGCCCGAGGTTTGATCCTCAGCACCACATAAAAAAATAAATAAATAAAACAAAGATGTGTCCATCTACAACTAAAAAAAAAAAAAAAAATGGGTATGAATGAAAAACTGGAAATAGTCATCTTATACCATAGGACAAAAGCCACATGTTGAAGATGGCAGGGCAATAAATAGAAGATCCCCAAGTCCCTGCCTTTCTGGAACCACCGCATTATTCCTGAACTGCTCTTAGAATGTTAGTTCAGGAAAGTAAATGGCTATCTTGTTTTAAGTCACTATTATTTGGGGTCATCAGTTATAGTAGACAGTAGATAATTTCATATCACCTTAACAAATATAGGCTGTATCTAGCCAAATTAGAAATGCTCACAGTTGAGCTTGCTCATCATCCTAGCTACTTAGGAGGCCAAGACAGGAAGATCACAAATTCAAGGCCAGCCTGGGCGATTCAAGATAAAGTAAATTTCTCAAAATAAAATAAATAGAAAAAGGGCTGGAAATTTCGCTTGGTGGTAGAACACTTGCCTTGCCCGAGTGAGGTCCTGGATTCAATTTCCAGAACCACCACTAGCGGCTAGGGCTACAGCTCAGGAGAAAAGTACTTGCCTAGCTTGTGCAAGGATGTCAATTTGATCTCCAGCATGGAAAAAAAAAAAAAAAAAAAGAAAAGAAAGAAAGAAAGAAAGAAGAAAAAAGAAAAGGAAATGTACATGGTCTTTGATCTAGCAACTCCATCCTGGGGAAATATTTACATTCATGGTCAAAGGTATACACTGCATCATTGCTTCACATGATGAGAAAAGTGTCTGTCACTATGGCAACAGTTAGATAAAGAGAAATGGTGGTGTTTAAGACAAATGAAGTAGTTCTACCTGGACTAACATGGGAAGATATCAAAGACATTTTTAAATGGATAAAAGAGAAAGTTGCAAAAAATATTTATAGTAGGATCTCACTTAGATAAAAGAAAACACAACATATCTGTACATACGTGTGTGTACTTAACAACTTGGGTGGTGAACTCTTAAGAGTTACCTTTGGGGAGTGAAGTCTTTTACTTTTCTCTAATTATACTTCTGTATCTTTTGAAATAAAGTCTATATATTACATGTGTGATAAAACTTTTTTTCATGTAATATAATGTAAATTTTGTTTAGTTAAAAATAAGAAGGCAGAAAATAAATTACTCATAACTTCATGATCAAGAGGAAGGCATTTTTAAACATTCTGGCATACTTCTTTCTAATCCTTTTCCTGAGCATTTTTCATAGTAAATATTTTCTCTATATAATTTTGAATCTATTTGGCATTAATCATAAGCATTTCCTCTAATATTAAAAACTCCCAGCCGGGTGCAGTGGTGTATGCCTAAAATCCCAGTGTCTTGGGAGGCTGAGGCAGAATTGCAAGTTCAAAGCCTGCCTCAGCAACTTAATGAGGCCTTAAGCAACTTAGTGAGACCCTGTCTCTTAAAAAAATACAGAAAAAGAGCTAGGAATGTAGCTCAGTGGTTAAGCATCCCTGGGTTCAATCCCTGGTACCAATAAATAAATAAATAAATAAATAAATAAATAATTTCCCTTAGACATTTTCAATAGCCAGAGAATTTTCCATAATGTAAAATGTAGCATAATTTATATCTTCATATTTAATTATTTCTGGTTTTTCATTATGATAAAATTATAATAAACACATTTGTACATAAATCCATCTCTTGGATTTTTTTTAAAGGCTAAATTCCTAGAAATGAAATTACTGTGTCAAAAGGCACAAATGGCAGCTGAGGTTGTGGCTCAGTGGTATAGCACTCGCCTAGCATGCATAAGGCACTGGGTTCAATCCTCAGCACCACATAAATGTAAAATAAATATATATTTTTAAAAAAGGCACAAATGTCTGTAATTTCAGTTACTCTGGAGGCGAAGGCAGGAGGATGGCAAGTTCAAATCCAGCCTCAGGGCTGGGGATATAGCTCAGAGGTAGAATGCTTGCCTAACATGTGCAAGGCTCTGTATTCAATCCCCAGTACTGATGGGGGTGGAAGTGAGCACCCTTAGCAACTTAGTGAGGCCCTGTTTCAAAGTATTAAGAACAAAAGGGACTGGGGATATAGCTCAGTATTAGAGCACACCTGTGTTCTGAAAACAAACAAACAAACAAACAAAAAAAAAAACAAAAACAAGAGGCACAAACAATTTTTAAAGGTACTAATATTCATCCAGAAAATGTACTCCAAGAGCACACCCTTTTCCATAGATCACCAATATACACATTGACCTCGTTAATTGTGATGATCCCTTAGATCCCCAAGGCTGCGAACAGAACTCAAAATCTATAGTCAAAATGGTGGGGAACCCACAGGAAGGACATGAGAAAAGAATCGGGCTACACACTTTTCTATATGTCTACACTCTCCCTTCCATGGTTGCTCTCATTCTCTTTCTTCCCTTTTTGGTTTTTTGTTTTTACAGTATTGGGAATTGAACCCAGGGATGCTCTACCACTGGGCTTTATAGTCCACTGTATTTTATTTTGAGACAGGGCCTCACCAAATTGCCCAAGCCACCCCTGAACTTGTGATCCTCCTGTGTATCTAGGTGATGACTTTGGAATATGATACCCATGAATTCCTTGGCCTTGGCCCCTTGGGCTCCTCTCCTGTTTCCTATTTCTTTTCCTTTACGTGTCCCCATCCCCACACAAACTGGAAAAGGTATTATCTCTTTTTGACAACCTCCTCCTCGGGAGTCTACTTTTATTCTCAGTTGGGCAGACTCATCTAGAGATCTTAATCTTTTCTGTTCTTTAGACTTTTGGGTGTCTGGTGAAGCCTAAGGATCCCTTCTCAGAATAATGATTTTAAATACATAAAATACATAATATAGCTATTAAAATATATTTTAAATGGGAAATCCCTACATCTGTATGGTAAGTTTTCAAGTACCCATTTTTTTTTCTTTTATCTTTTTTTGGCTTGTTGGAGTTTAAAATTTTTTCTATAATGGTTACATAATTTGTATAATTGATACAGAAAAACAACCAACAAAAGGCTAAGCTCTCTAGAAGAGAATATACTGTGCTGTGATGGGAGATATCTATAACTT